TAGTGAGAAATTGACGAGATTTGCTTAAGAAAACATCTAAACGCCCATCCACCCTTGTAACACAGTTGAAACGACTTTGAAACTATTTACCAGTCAAGAAGCCATAAAACACGCAAATATAAAAAGAAAGTAATTATTACAGATTACTTAACTACATCGTAAGCTGCATAGGGTTCTTTGTATCATGTATTATGATAGTATTGGAAGATGCTTAGAGGCCAGCTATAGATGTGTTACGATTATTTATTCAGACTTTCCATAGTTACGCAAATTAACAATACAATTATGGAATCACTCTTAAATCTAGCTTTTAGTGCCTGCTCCAGAAAAGTGGTATGGTAACCATCTTCACCTCTAGCTGAGCTACGAGTTACATGTAAGAGTTTATTTTTCGATCACTTTTAGAAAATTCCAAACAGTGAGGAATTCTCTTGCACTGGTAAGAAATTGGTTGCGTTTCTCCTCCTTTTTTTCTTTTTTTTTTCTTTTTTTTTTCTTTTTTTTAACATAGTTACTGAGGGTTGAACGTCTTGCTTCAAAGGTGCGCTAGCTGTGGTTTTTATCGAAGAAGTTTCTTTCATTATTTTACTCTATATATTTCATTTTCGCAAACTTGTAGACGTTTATGTTCTAATACCAAAGCTGACACCATGGGGTTAAGGGGTAAAAGCAAACAATGATAATCACTGCGGGGTCTTAGGGCCGTCTGTAATATAGAAACAAGAAGTTAAAACAACTTTAGTTCAATATCCCGGGATACCAGCACTGAGTCTAATTCTTCACAGTTATGTCTACCTAGCTGTAATTAATGTCGAACAAAACAAACAGCTAAGTCGCCCGAAGGGGTAAGTTTACAACGAGATTGATATATGGTGAGGTTGAAACCTATCTCCTCATTTTCAGTTGAAGCATGATATAAAAAATGCGAGAAATCAGTTGACCAGGGACCTTGATCAAGATTCCTCTTTCTAGCAACCTGTTCATCAAGTCAAACTCAACGGTGCGTACCTTATCTCTTTACACCCTAAGTGTGACCAGCATCTAATTACTCCTCACAGGTATACTGCTGAATCATCCACTAATATCATGAGAATAAAGGAAATGATCACCGACCAAAGAAGCTTTGATTGTTAAATAAGTTCTCCTCGTCAGAATCCAAGGAAAAGTAAAGAGAAGAATTTGGAGAATGTGGATACTGATCAAAGGATGTGAAAGGTTATGAAAAAATTTAATCAATCTCAATAGC